GGCTCTAAGCTGTCTTCTGTGCAATGTCAGGCTTAAAGACTTCTAGGTATGCTTGTGGGTTCTGCTTGTTGGAGATTAGTGGAATCTTATTCCTTTGCTTTGCATTATAAAAATTTTGTTCCTTTCTATCTACAAGGTTATCTCTTAAATACTGAGGCTCCAGAGATCTGTTGCCCTATCTGCTGTGGCTCCTATGAGGATCTTGACCACCTCTTTAGGTCCCATCTGACCTATAACAGCATGATACCACCAGTTTGCCCTGCAGGTCTGCTTTCCATAATTGAATCAGCTACATCTTTTACATCTGGTGCCTTCTTGAATAGCTTTATAAGATTATCCATAGCCAATAGTCAATCCATTCCTGGCCAGATAAAACATCCATCCATGTACACACTCCAGTTGATAAGCATCCACTCCTGAATGCAGATGTAGTGTCAAATGTTGTGCACTAGATACAAAGAGGCAGACAGTGGACAGTCATCTGTTACTGTTTGTGGGTTATCAATCACACAGCAGGCCCCTGGGCAGATTGTGTAAGTGTTCCATTGCTTAAGCAGCAGTGAGAGAATAGTTTTCTGCATTTCAAAAGTGGGATGCTTACTGCTCAGCTCTCTTGATGCTATGGTGGATCTAGAGCCAGGAAAACCAACATTTGATGCCCATAAAGCCATGGTATAGCATATCAATCTGTGAACAGATGCTTTGACAGGCCACTGTCTGTGTTTACCCCTCAAGTTTCAACACTAAAGCATGCCTCTCAGCCCTATGATCTCTTATTCATGGATTTGTTCAGAGAGGACAGCATGTGGGCTGACACTTCTCACTTCACACCCAACAGCATATTCAAGATCTCAAGATCCAAGCTCAAGAAAAAGAAGTATAAGAAGGTCAACCACTGTGTTAAGCTCATACCCATGACATTGCCAGAACAGTTTTGAATAATCTGAGAGATCACAGGGGATCTGCTGGTGGACATACCAGTTCTTTCTGGCCACCCACCAGACTTTACTCAGACAGAGTATTATATCAAAGAAAATCATGACATTATAAATAAAAATCACTCTGGGAAATTCTTATGGCCAGAAGGGTGGAAGCTTATGCACCATTTCATAATGTTGCAGGAAGCCAGATTCATATAGGATGAGTTGCAAAAAGAGAAATTCAGAGAAGATTTCTTCCCTCTGGTGACCATTCCTGCCATAGAACATATCTCTTGAGTTCACAAAAATATTTCTATTCCTTCAGGTCTATATCATGAAGTCATAGACATAGTCAAAGACAAGATTGCTTCAGAAATATATGAGCCTTCCAGTTCTTTATATCACTCTAAGTGGTTCATAGTATTCAAGAAAGATAGGTGATCACTATGGATTGTTTATGACCTCCAGTCTCTCAATGCTGTTATCATCCACAATTCAAAGGTGTTCCTGCTCATTGAACAGCTGATGGAAACCTTCAGCAGATGCACATATTATGGAGTGTTTGATCTGTTCATTACCTTTGATCAATGACTGCTTTTAATCAGTAGCAGAGACTTGATGACCTTTCAAACACCTCTGGAGACTTTTCAATTGACCATGCTTCTAATGGGATAGACAAACTCAATGCAGGCACTGCAGAGAGACATAATCTACATGCTACAGGATGAAATACCAGATGTCACTATTCCATTCATTGATGATACAGATGTGAAGAGACCTATTACCCACTATGAGACTGCAGATGGTGGATATAAGACCATACCAGATAATGCAGAGATCCACTGCTTTGTATGAGAGCATTTCCAAAATCTCAATCAGATTATACAGTGGATAAAATATTATTAGATGAAAGTGTCACATGAGTGCAGTCTTATAATAAACTGGCATTGTATTGTGTTCATACAATCATTCCAGAGTCCACTTCTGGTGTCTGACTCAGTGTGAGGTTCAAGGCTTTTACAAGTGGCTTGAGAGTGAATGATATAGAATAAACTTTAGCTTGAAGCTGAGTCTACTACAGCAAGAGCTATGCTACTTATATATGTTTCTGAGCATGATAAATATAGTCCTACTTATTATATCTGTCTGTGGTCTGAAACTAAAGAGCATATGGTATATGCATGAAATAATTAAATACTATCTATTGTCAAGTTATTGGTTGCAAGCTATAGTACAATATCACAAGTCATCTGGTATAGTCATGGTTACTGGTCTAGCTGGATAGATAAGAAGTAAGTGCCTATGATTAGATAGGTACTTGATAAGATAAGACCTTGATAAGATAAACAGAAAATCATAAGATTATCAGTATATTGACCTTAGCTTAAGACTAGAGTATTTCACTGTATACTATGGACTTAAATACTGTTAAACCCAAGTCACATGTGATCAGAACACATGATAAACTGATGCTGTATTGAGTTCATACAGTCACATCAGAGTTCACTTGTGTGTATCTGTTGACCAAATGCTTCAAGGCCTATAGATAGTCAGCTCAAGATGAAGTGGTAAGAATAAACTTTAGCTCAAAGCTGGGTATCTACAGTGAGAGCTATGCTACTTATATACTGTTCATTAGTGAAGTAAAAATAATCCTACTAATTGTGTGTTTCTAGGCTACTGTGCTCCTTGTCCTGGAGCATTGTTACTGTCCACAAAAGATCATTGTCCACTGTCAAGAGTGTTGCTGAGTGTCAAAGGACAATGGCTGACTCTGTCTATCATAGTGACTAAACAGATCCCACAGTGCTAAGTGCTGACTTAGGTGCTCTGACTAAGTAGAAATAAGGGTTATTCAAGAAAGGAAATAGGAAAAATCATAACAAATACTTTATAGAAAAGTCTTCATGATTTCAAACCAAGCTTTGGTATATCTCTGGTTCTATGGCTGTGTCAGACTAAGGCTTGGCTGGGCATGATTGAAAGGCTAAAATCATGACAGCCATGCAAAATATGCTGCAGACAAATCTGAGACACATCCAGCCAGTGCCATCATTTTTTACACTACAGCTATGAATTTCCACACAGCAGGAATATACATTCACTGATGAGGAGGTAGTTGCCCAAGCTAGAAACTGTTACAGCAGAGAACTATTCACTGATCACATCTACATCTATATACATGTACAACAATCTTATTTTGTTGGGGGATTATACTGTGATAAGAGTAGTAATGGCCAATACAACTGTATCTTCAATGATCCACTGCATGCAAATAGCAATAGCATACACACATATATCTAAGATCTCTCTAAGTTTCAAAGCTTTTGTTTGACAAGAGGGGCAATGAATGTCATTAGGCCTCAAGGTAAGAGTACTGTATCACCACTCAATACTTCAAAACACTCTCACAAAGCTCATAAAAAGCTCCAAGCACTGCTTAGACTAAACTCAAAAACCTTAACACACACAATACATGACTTAAAGCTTCACACTCTAAGCAGAAATCCTTTATGAACACATTCACAAGAGACACAAAAACACAATAAAAGCCCATCCACAGACTCAAAAGGTTCAAACCTCTACTGATCAGCAGAAATAATCAAAAAGTGAGCACTAATCAAGCTAAAAGATTTGAACCTCTACCATCTATATTGCCTCACAAATACCTCAAAAACTTAAAAGAGTGCCCTTCAGACACTGCTCTCTTATTCTCAGGCTAGAGTGCAATTCAAAACCATCTATTAACTTGAACTAGAGTCCTGCAGGAGCTTTTGATGCCTCACATGATACTCAAATCACTCTTAATGATATCAATAATTGGTCCATTCTCTCACCTGAAGTTACAAACTAAACCCAGAAGCTGGAGCACAAGGCCTTTGTGCCTTTACACCTCAATAGTGGAGGTTAGAAACTTGTACTCAACTCTCATAATGTTGTATTCAAATAGTTTACTACCATACTTCCTAATTTGCATGGCTACCTTTTGCTGACAGACATCTGTATACTGGTCAGTTGATGTATATTCCTGCTAAAAACAGATTCATAGCCATAGTGTAAAAACCAAAGTCCTATGTGAAGTCCTGATCATAGTTTGATCATGTTCTTTTTATGTTTAGTGTGTCCCTCTGTACTTGTAGCAGCACATTTAGTGCCAAATGCTGAGACCTCATGTACAGTATAATCCCTCTGGTATCATCCTACTACTAGGCCATGCACTCTATGAATCATCACTCAAGTCAGGTATCATATTAAGTCTTGTTTTATCATGTGCTACTCATATCTTCTATTGCATGCATAGTAGGCATGGATACAATCAATCTATCATTCTAATTTGCAAAATTTCACATGTGAACATATAGAGGGTATGTCAATGTCAATGCTCTATGAGTACCACAAATGACTGTAGGAATTTAATGAAGTGCCAGGTATTGGTGATGCCTAGGCTGGTCATGAATACTTCATTGACTGCTTTGCAAGGCTGGCTGTCACCACATTTGGTCAACATGGGGATCAGAGGATAAACATTCAGTAAGTGGCTCATGCCTTTCTCATATAATGATATTGGTGGGGATCATCTGTAGTACAACCAGTGACACAGATGCTCCTGGACTTTGTGTGCTTCTAGGCACAATTTCAGGTATAGTGGATGATTATCTTGCATCTATCTCACCATTGCTTACTGATTCTTCAGAGTAAGCTGACTATTGGCCATCTCATGCTAACAGCTAATCCTTTGTCTCTAATCACAAGAGGCATGCCGAGTTGGCAAGTGCAAGGTGGGATACAAACCCAAGATACATAATTAATATGGACAGGCCGGCAGATCTCAATTAGTCATGGTCCCATTGAACAGCAAATTATCATGCGGCTATTGATATGTTTTGTATGTGGGGGAGTTACAGAAAGGATACTAATTAACATGCAAACAGAGAAATCATAAGCGGGCCAGTCCTGAGGCATTTGTGTACGTGAATTGCATATGGCATAGAGAATGTTGATGTCATACTATGCCGTCCGTCATTTACATGAAAAACTGTATCGTGTACAACAGCGAAGATTTCCCTCATCAGTCTCGAAGCCAGCACACTCGCCATTTTATTGTCCTACTCTTTTCCCCTCAGATAACTGCTTGTGCAGTTATTCAAGGGACGTAAATCATGTAGTGAGAAGATCGTCTTGCAAGGAAGTCCGCATTCTGATACAATACTAAGTACATGTTAGAAACGATATCCACGAGCATAAAGATAGAATCCAATAAGTACGGTGACTCGGATAAGCATCGAGTCAACGAGAACTGCGATCATACTACCGAGAATAAAAATTCCAAGAAATATTCGGGAGATCGGCGAACGGATTGCTGCGACAGCAAGTGTCAGAACATCAAGCGATAATCAATCCACAAGTAGTACTTACCAGAAGATTCTGACGTATCTGCATGTGTAGTCTTGTCAGTTTTATGTAGCATATAAATCTGACGCTCCCGCTCACCTTCGGGGGTAATAACTCCATCTGATTCGACCTCGTAGATACGAAGTTCTGATTGTGATAGATCACCCCCCGGTGAAGCATCATGATTGTACTTTGATTCAAGGTCCTTGAGCATGTCAGTGTATCTTTTGAGTTGTTCCCCTTGATAGTGAAATTAGCCTAATACAATCCAGGGAGGCGTGCTGTGGGCACTACTCACTTGGCACAAAGTTTGCGGTCACAACGCTTGAAGAACATCCGGCAAGACTCTTATGTATCTCCTTCTTCATTGCTAAAGGAGGTGTCAGCATAAGTTATTAAACGCAACGGCGTCGACATTACCTTCGTCTTGGATCAGATATATGCTCAACTCCGATTGTTCCAAGTATTTCGCAATGTCGAGGCTCATAGGATGAAAACCACAGGTCTCGTGGAGGAGGGTGCTGCAGTCAAGGCTGACAGGGCCGTGTAGCAGCACGTCCTGGGCGATATTTTCCACGGAATACGTATAAACATTATCCGATGCGTGTTCTTCTCCGTGTTTGGCACCATGCGGATCGCTTGAAAGGTAAACATCCGGAACATACACCTGATGATTGTCGGTAGGAAAAGGCGCGCCAATGAATAAGTACAGATCGCTCGTGGGCGGCCGATTGACCTTCGGGTCTGCTTCTACACGAATTTGAAAATACCGTGTCGTAACTAAAGAAGATTTAGAGGACCTCCGTTGCTTTGGGGACTACGGCTACATACTTTGAGAAACGATCAGCTGCGGGAGGGGATCGTCGGAACCCATGTCGATCTGAGCCAAAATTCGTGGGCCCTGTGAGAACCAGTGGAAGCAAAGTTCGCGTTTTGCTGGAGTTGTCAGTTTTAAGAGGCAAAACAAGTTGATAGTTCTGATATTTCCCGACAATGTATATCTGTAACCCGATTCGTTTCAGCAGATTCACCATCAGCGATGTAATCGAACGTACCGCCACAGGCCATTCGGTAGTTCGAGAACATTCGAAGTTTCCGGATATTGGGACATCGAGATTCCAACGGACAAAGGTTCATCCTCAGGGTAATCTACCATGAAATGACGACCTGACAGGGTATCGCTTACAACGATCTTCCCGAATAGGGTGTCAAGATCAAGGGGGAAACAAACAATCTGATCAAGTGACCCCCCCATGAAAATCACGTCGTAGTAAGACAAGAGATGCTCCTTTACAATCAAAGGCGCCTGCAGGCGTCGTACAAAGGAATCGAGCGACCCCTGTATCTCTGGTGAAAGCGGACGGAACTTGTCAGCGAGGCTGTTTATGTGACGCTTGATTCGTAAGTCATCGACTTGTTCATCGAATAAGAGACGCCCATCTGTGGTACAGCGCACGCTTTCGAAGTCCTGTAATGTTGATACATTCAGTGCTGACTATGGAATGAACTGAGATAAAGGCCGCTGCTCACAAAGAGTACTTGAAGATGCGTTAGTGAGAATATAAGGGCTCTCTGCAGGGTTGCTGGTCAAACGGGTATCTGGTTTATAGCTGAAGTATCGAGACGTACATGGAATCTATAAGCCTGTGGACGGTTCAGTTTGACGACGGCAGCTGACTTTTGTATGAATCATACCAGTAGACAATATGCGAGAGGCTCGAGACGCTTGTCAAAGAGCTTTGGAAACTCGGTAAATGTCATTTCGTCTAGAGCCCAATGAGCCACGTCAATGTGAGACCACTCAAAATCCATACCGGCATTTCCGTGGAATACCAAACAAGGCGTAGATCCGGACTGAACAACACCGTATAGTTGGCGCAAGTTTGGATGTCTTTTACCAGTCAATTTCAGTAGGAGGAAGAAGCAAGCCACCTACCTTTTAGCCACGCTATGAATGTCCAACTGCTTCTTCCATTCCTTGGTTTGTGTGAGTTTCATCGACAGGAGATTCGAGCAGTCATGGACTTACCACGAGTCCCAGATCTCCAGAATACTCCTTCACGACCATGACTCTGTTCGATGTGGAGACATCCGCCACGAACGTGACGACCTCACCCTTCCTTCTAGTGTACAGCTCCCTGAAATTATTTTTGGTCCATATTTCCCGAAGCTGAATATCGCCGTAACGTAGACTGTGGAACTAAGGGATCATCAATCGGCCGTAGGGGCTGGAAGGACAAAGGATATGATGAAATGAACCTTGTTGTTGACCAGCAGATTTCTTGTATTTGCTCTTATGTGAGATACGTCACGCTGGATATCATGTGTAACGGTCATAAGGTCAGTTTGCGAAGTTTGAAGAGAGGAGATTCCATGGTTTATTTGGGAAATCGATGCATTAGATTTCAATGTCAGAGACAGCTATGAGAGTATTCCATCAGAATATCGGAGTGAACTTATTGAACCGCGAAAGCAAACCATTAGGTTCGACTTGGCGGTTTCCATGGCTTGGCGATGACCATCGATTTCCTCTTTGACGTTCCGTGAAGTTATAAACTGTCTTATACCCTTCCAAGGGCCCCTTCGACTTCGGTCGATGTCGAGCACCTGAGTTGTGAGATTCGATAGAAACCTGCACCAATATATATTAGAACTGGATATTCGCTCAAGGCCGGAAGGATAACTACTCCTGGAACTCTAAGCAAGCTTTTCGAAGATCTTCGATATATGTGACACCCTCAGGTACGGCAGATATCTTGATACAGGCGTCGCGGACAATTATCAAGATATCGATGATATCCTTGGCGAGATCCTCCACGTCCTCCTTGTTCTTTTGATATAGCTGCCGAGATACTGTTAGTGGTGCAGAAAGGCCACGGAAACACAACTAACTTCCAAGGTCGTTAGGAAACCTACAGCAACTCCACCAAGGCCCCTGAAGAACCCGCCAACCAGTGGCACCATTGCACCGACATCAACAAAAACCTTTGCGAGCTCGAGGGAAGCTGTTATTGCATCGTTCGAGTTCCCGGAGGGTGTCGTGGTTGTTTTCGAGGTTGGTTTCTTCATGGCTACAAGTGGACAAGAAATCGTTAAGCGCCGAAAAGTCGAACATGCCGGCACTGCACTGAAAGGGCACAAAGACACCACGCGGCTCCAGTATCGTTGTTGCTGTGTACACCGCACCAGAGCACAGAAGTCCTTTCAAGTTCTTGGTTTTCAAGAAGGAAAAGGTTAAGTAGATAGTGTTTACGGCGAGTAGTCCTGGTAATTAATAAACCACCAGGCGGAAATTGAGAGCCTAAAAGCTCAATCTTCATTAATACTCTTTCAGTAGTGGAAAACAGAAGCAGGGAACACGCGTTTTTGCAATGATCCTCTACAGCTCGCCGGTCCGACTCACTCTGCCGGTACTCTCCAAATGCGACTCGCAAAAGACCGCAACACGTTATTTTATGGGACCTCGCGGCCAATCAGCGTGCGCTTCGCTTTCGAGTGAAACGCGAGCCACCTTTGATGACAGATGTCACGGTAAGATTATATTTTTAGCTGTCTTTTTGGATACTTATCAACAAATGACATTGTAGGCGCCGTGTGGCGTTGGTGCCTCCAGATTTTGGGCTATCGCCATTGGCATTGATGCGTAAACGTCCTCCCCACTGCGCAGTTGCGTGTCGGATGCGTTGTTCGTGCCAAAAGGAGGGATTCAGCGCCTTATCAGTACCCAAGCATATACCTACCCAGGAGGTCCCTCTATTCCTTCCCGTACCAACATTATTCGGACCCTTCTCAGTGCCATGACCAACACATAGATCCATTACGGTGATAACATCATAATTTATTACTCTGGCCACGGGTCGCACTATTCCTGTTCAGAGTACTTCCATAATTGCGACTCGGACTCTGATGATGGGCAAGTCTCTGTTGCAGGGAGTGGATCCATAGAGGCCCTCTGTCCAATGGACCGTAACACTCGAGACACCAACGGCACCGTTATTCCTGATTTCAGCGACCGCGAGATCAATGCAATTCTTTTCTAAATTTGTCGCATCAAAGGAAATCGAATCACCTTGATCCTAGACTGCCGTTACTCGGTGGCAGAATCCGGAACTTACCCGGGCCAGGAGTTCGCACTGTCCCCCCGCTCGCTTCGCTCGAGGACATGCTCGTCGCCACGGACAAAAGTTTGAAGTGCTTCCCTGGTTATAAGTCCGTATTGTCGGAGGACTGGCTCCCAGATATGGATTCTCATGTTATGATGGCAGCGTGTAGGGAGTACGAGTTTGTAAAGGAGAAACGCAGGAAGGATGGGTTCAATGGGATTTTCACACAGGATGTTGTTCGCGCTCTCAAGTCTGGTCAGCTAGGAGAAGGATCAACATATGTCGACCTTGTTAACTCCATACTTGCTCGCACCACCAGATGCCAGTTATCACTGGGAAAAATAAGCATGCAAAACTGTGGTACAAAGATTGATGCCATAGATTGGTGATACACCAGGCAGCTGTACCAGGTAGAAAAGTGAATATATTTATTGTTTTTCTACCTTGTTAGCTACCTTGTACCCACCATAGTAAGATATAATAAGCAAGCAATTACCTGGTGAGGGCACAATTCCATCAAGTGTGACATATCAGTATCTAGCAGAGACTGAAGTACTAATGAACCTCTCTGTTCAGTATGTGAGGTTCCCAGGTCTGGGAATGGAGACCCAAATGACTGGCATGTTGGCAAGGACCAGGGCCTAGTCCAATTGATTGACCAGGCAGCTGCATATGAGCTCATACCTGCCAGGAGATGAGTTTAGCCTACTTGGTTGGATCAGCAAGTATATTAGTCAGTAGTCCATTATATTAGTCAGATATAAGTAGCCAGAAAGAATAAATACCAGGTCTTGTATAGAGGGAAGGCAGGTTTCTTCCCCTCCCAGGACACTACCAAGCAAATAGGATGAGTTGTGTTTGGCTAAGAGCTTTGAGTTGTAGACTCAACCTGAATAGTATTGTGGTGACCAGGTCACTTTGTTTTTCTTTGTTGTTTGGGGATCCATATGAGATAGAGTCCAACCCAACCTTCAGTTGCTTTTTCTCAGGACTATCCATACAACTACCTCTCCAACTCTGATTCTGTAAAGAATGAAGCCTCTTTCATGCTGACACCTTTGGAATACCACTTCTCTGAAGGACATAGCCCTTAAATCTTGTCAACAGTGGACTTTCTCTTTCTTTCTAGCCACACTTCACCTTTTCTCTCAGACATTCCCTTGTATTCTCTCATGACACCATCCATCTCACTGGAGCCAGACTCTGATTCACAACTCTTAGAACTGCCTATCTTCATCACTGTATCAGATCTCACATCTTCTTTGCCCTCAGTATTGTCTTCATCCTTTCTGATGAAGAGATCCTGTATGCACACAAGGTGAAAACAAATACATCAGAGTGCTATCCACTGATCACACCCACACCAACACACACACAAAATACTCTTAGTTCATGGAGGGATTATAATGCAATAAAAGTAGTCACTGCTGATGAGCCTCTAGGCTCTATACACTCAGAATTCACAGATTCAGTATGCCACTATTATTGCCATCCCATAAGTGGACTTTCAGCAAACTAATGATTGCAAGCATGAATATACTACTTTTCTGTCATGGAAATACCCTCTCAGTCACTTCTACATGTTATCCCTCTCATACACACCCATAATGACCACATTCCATCATGGCAAGGTAACAATGATCAAAATTATCCTATCAGGGTAGTAGCTGCATCATTACACATCAGGAAGCTGACAGGCCCTCTGATCAGTCCATTATATGATGTAGATTCTGCATGATTTCACTGCTAACACTTAGTTTCTGATGCATGGCAACAGAAAACCATGTTTACTAAGGCTGTTATAGTGCTAAGACTCATTACAATAGCTAAACCCATGAATACTCCTCAGCACATGGACTACTTCTTGCAAATCTGCAGTTAAACAGCATCCCTCAATCTGCTCACTAGTAACTAAAACTGCATGGTTTCTCTTGAAGTGCAGCAACAGAGATCACTTGCTTTCACTATTAGAAGCAATGATCCCCTATGGTTTCTTGGAAACTTACTAAGATTCCATGTTACAGCCTTATGAAGTGGTACTTACAGTTTCTATTCTATTGGACTACACTCTCAGCCCTACTGAATACATGCATATTTCACATTACCATGCAATTACCATGCTATGGCAATACATCAATTGCTGTATATGCTTGGTCCCACAGTAACTTGCCACTTTCTCTGTACACTTCATGGTTTCTACTGTAAAGAGTTGCTTCTTATTTGCCCTCTACTCTAAACACTATCAGAATATTACCCTATTATTACCCTATTATTTGGATACATGAATAACCACCATTCTGTTGAGCCCAAATAACTCATGACTGAAACACATGATAAACTGATGCTGCTTTGCATTTGGGCAGTCACATCAGAGTCCACTATATGTGTCTGTTTGTCTATGTGTTGCAAGGCCTCATGACTGGCTTGAGATAAGATAGTGAAGAATAAACTTTAGCTTGAAGCTGGGGATACTACAGTGAGAGCTATGCTACTTATATACTAGTCATCATCTGTCTAAAGATATAACTATCTAATTGTGTGTCCTGGCATTATAGAGCATTTTGTCCAGTGTCATTAAGCTATCTACAAAAGGGTATTGTCTGTTGTCAAGCAGTTACCATTGTGTTGAAGGACAATGACTGACTGGGCATTGTTGTGATGACTAAGTCTGTCCCATGGTCCTAAGCACTGGCTAAGTGCTCTGACTAATCAAAGATAGGAGTCAATCCCTTGAATAAAAGATAAAAATCAGGAAAAATCATAACATTACCCCCTCCTTAAGACCATTGTCCTGATGGCTTAAATTAGGAATAAGTCATGGCATCCATGAGCAGATAACCTGCCCTTCTTCTCATAAGATTCATAAAGACATTGACCATTAAATTGGTCAATGCCTCTGGTCATATTTATATATTGCATCCTCTGCATCCATATGCCATTCATTAACCCATTGATTTGACTCTGGTCTGTAGCACTTCCAACTGACTAGGTAGTCGACCATTGTTGTTATTCTGCTGCCTTTAGCCTTGATTTTTCATAATTTATGGTCCAATACTTGGTCAATTTCATAATGTTCTTTGTCATTGATTAAGTCAGGTGGTGGTGGAAGTGGCCATTTCTGGTTCAGGAATGCTGGTGCAATGTAGAGCATTAACAATGTCTCATTAAAGACATTATAGACTTTCCAGGCAATGGAAAGTTGCAATTTATAGGCAGAGTTGCTGACTTTTGCAAGTATGGAGAATGGGCCTGTGTGCTTGTCAGCAAGTTTGTGTTTTGGGCATGGGAGGTGGAGGTTCATTGTATCCAGCCAAACTTTATCATTGACTGAATATTCATAGGCAGAGCAGCAGTGTTTGTTGTACTGTTTCTTTATTGTTGCTGTGGCCTTTTCAAGGGCTGCCTTGGTTTCAGTATGAATTTTCATCATGGTTGTGGTGAAATCTGTGGAGGTGGATGTGGAGGTGTGTGCACATTTGGTTTGGGCAATGTGAGAGTGTTGACTGTAGTTAATGTAAAATGGGATCTTGCCTGTGGCTGAGTGGATGTGATTGTTGTGTTGGAAGATGGCAAGTGCCAACCATTCCATCCAGTCATCTTGGTGGTAATTGATAAAGAGGCAGAGGTATTTCTCCACCTCTTATTCACCCATTCTATCTGACCATCTGTCTGGGGGTGATAGGCAGTTGATGCATTGTGCTTGATATTGAGGAGCCAGTATAAATCATCCAAAAACTTGGAGACAAACTGTGGGCCTCTGTCAGAGATGATCACTTGAAGCATGCTGTATTTGGCATATACCTTGTTGCATAGGATCTTTGCCCATCCTTCTGAGGTTAGTTCTATTGAGCAAGTGATCAGAATGATCACTTTAGAAAATTGATTGACTATGATGATGATGGCATCATAGCTATTGCAGTCCAGTAATCCAGTGATCATGTCCACCAAAATATGGGTTCATGGTGATGATGGGACCTCATTTGGATGGAGTGGGATGGCCCATAGTTATGTTAAAGACTTGCTATGCTGGCAAGTCTCACATGCTTTGATGTACCATTCTATATCATGGCCTATCTTAGGCTATCAGTATTCTTGTAAGACCAGTTTCTTGGTCTTGGTGATCTCTGAGTGTCCAGCAGCCACATGGTCATGGCACATGGCAATGATCTTGCTATGAAGAGCTTAGTCCCTGGGAATATAGATCTGTCCATCATGACAGATCATCCTCTCCTCCTCCTTCATTCCTCATTCATGATTGAGTGATGGGACAACCTGCTGGTCCTATTTGCAGGTGTCTCACATGGTGCTCTTGATGCACTCATGGATCTCTTCTCCTATCAGCATGATCATCACAAAGAAGTGCTCTGGTTTCAGAATCATGACCCTCTTGTTGTTGTCTCCTTCTTGATCATGGTCTGCTCTCCTGCTGAGCAAATCTGCTTTCTTGTTGGATGCACTGGCTTTGTGATGCAGCATATAGTTGTACTTGGATAATTCTGTCACCCACTGGGCTTGTCAGCAGTTTAGCTTTTGGGGCATCCAGAAGTATCAAAGGTTCTAGTGGTCAGTCTAGATTTCAAAGGTCTGGACTAATCTGATTAGGTAATGTCACCACTTGGCAAGGGTGAGCATTATGGCAAGCAGCTCTTTATCATATATCTCATAGTTGCATTCCATGATGGTCAGTGTCTTGGATAAGAACACAACTGGATGCCATTGGCCATCCTGTTTTTGAGAGAGGACAGCATCTATGGTGCCTTCACTTGAGTCAGCTTTGACACAGAACTTCCCATCTTGTGTTAGGATTGCAAGTACTACATCCTCCACCAATCATTGTTTCAGATCTTAGAATGCTGACTGTTGTGATGGGCTCCAGGTCCATGGTGCATTGCTGGTCAGTTGAGTCATTGATCAGATCATCTTGCTATAGTCCTGAATGAACCACCAGTAGAAGTTGGTGAAGCCAAGAAAGGATTGTAATTCCTTCTTCTTTGTTAGCTCTGGCCATTCTGTTACTCCAGCTACTTTGATGGGGTCTATCCTGATGCTTTCTTCACTGATAATGACTCTGAGGTACTTGGTTTCAAGTACCTCAAATTCACATTTCTTGGCTTTGACAAATAGTCAATGTTTCCTCATGAGGGCTAGTACTTGTCATACTAGCTATTGGTGTTCTTCTTTAGTCTTGGACATGATGAGAATGTTGTCCAAGTAGATAGTGACCTTTTCTGTGGTGATAAGATCCTTGAAGATATCATTCATCATCCATTGGAAGGTGGCTGGCAAGTTGGTGAGGCCAAAGAACATGACCATCAGCTCAAATAGTCTTCAATTCATGCAGAAGGTGGCCTTCCACTCATCCTCTTTCTTTATTCATACATTGTTGTAGCCCCATCAGACATCCAGCTTAGTGTAGTACCAGGTGCCATGGAGCTTGTCCATTAACTCAGAGATCAGAGGAAGCAGATAACAATTCTTGATTGTTATTTCATTAAGCTTCTGATAATCTTGTACCAGTTGAAGTTTGCCATCCTTCTTCTTGATGAAGAAGAAGGGTGAGGCTATCAGAGACTTTGATAGCTGAATTTGTCCACTGGAGAGGTTCTCTTCCAGGAACTGATTGAGCTCTTCTTGCTCATTGTTACTAAGTGGATACATCTTGCAGTCCAGATTAGCATTGGCATTTGGGATCAGCTCA